GAAATAAACTAAAAAAGCCTTTAAAATCTAATATAATATTTGGAAGAAGACATTCAAAACCATTCACCAACTGTCATGTTTCGGGGGACACCCTGTAGATTGATACAGGAAAATGTAAATAATGAATTTGTACAGGTGTTTACTCTACCCCTCCTCACATATGGAGCAAAATATCCAAAATTAAGGTAAGCAAATAATATTCATTTTGTTTCTTTCATTTTGTGAAATATTTAATAAAATGAAGAAATACCAACGGTCATTAGAAAATGAGGAATACAGTGTTCCTTATAATACTTGGAATACAGTGTTTCTTATAATAATGCGGAATGCATTGTTCCATAAAATAGTAGAATACAACAGTGTTCCCATATAGTGCTTATTAATACAGTGTTCCTTATAATTCTGAGGAATACAGTACTCCATTCAATACTGTGGTATAAGTGTTCCCTATATTATACTTAGTGATGTCAATGTTCCTTATATTACTGTAAAATACAGCTTTCCCTATAAAACTTTGGGAATTAGTTCTTCATACAATACTATGGAATACAGTGTTCCCTAAAAATGTTTAAATTCAATGTTCCATAGAATACAGTACTCCATTCCAATAATGTACAAAAAAGTGTTTAAAATAATATTGTGGAAAACAACAATGTTTCTTATAATACTGTGATATACAGTGTTCCATAGAATTCTTTGACACATAGTGTTCCTTTTTATGATCCTCAAAATGTTCCTTTTTATGATCCTCAAAATGATCGTCTAAATCTTCCCTTAAATGATTCCCTAGGGCATAACCTCCTGGATTTTTTAAAGATCTTGTAAATGATACCTAAAATAACCTCTGAATAATCTCTTAAATGATTCCCTAGGGCATAACCTCCTGGGTTGTTTAAAGATCTTGTAAATGATACCTAAAATAACCTCTGAATAATCCCTTAAATGATTCCCTAGGGCATAACCTCCTGGGTTTTTTAAAGATCTTGTAAATGATACCTAAAATAACCTCTGAATAATCCCTTAAATGATTCCCTAGGGCATAACCTCCTGGGTTTTTTAAAGATCTTGTAAATGATACCTAAAATAACCTCTGAATAATCTCTTTAACGAACACATGAAGAACCTCCTATTATCCTATATAATTCCTAAACTGCCTTTCAATTGAATACTTAACATTGTTAGTTTTAATCATGCGACTTATTTAAATTACGCTATAAAACATGTTCGGAGATACAGGGTGTACCACGAAAAATGAGAGTTGCTGAATATTTTAAAATGTCTTCTTCCATAATTTGTTAAGTTGTTTCATACCAAAGAAAATAATAATAAACATTATATGTCAGTTTTCTTATAGTAAAATCGATCCCAAATTAAGATATATTGGAGTAAATGATTTTTCTACAGAGCTAAACTGCAAAAGTCTGTAAATCTAATCCAGTATTAGATAAACGACATTCAAAACTATTCATCCCCTGTCATGTTTTGTGGGACACCCTGTAGCTTAACTGCGTTTTATCTATTCTCTATAGTCTTATAAATATGTAATACGATGGTCTTAATCATGTAGTATAGATACCATCGTAGGAATTGTAACTACGTTAATTCCTATTAAGTTTGTGACATAAGATATTAAATAAAGTTTAGCTCTATAGAGTAACTCCGTACTGTTTACTGGGAGAGAGTGATCCTGAAACCCTGAAGCTTGTATTCAGGTCGATCATCCCCTTTAGTTTGGGATCGACATATAGCTTTTTGGTATAGCTAAGGCTTAACTCCCGGCGTGACATTTAGAGCAGGTCGTCCCCATCATTTGGGATCGATATATAGCTTTTTGATATAGCTAAGGCTTGTCTCCCGGCGTGACATTTAGAGCAGGTCGTCCCCATCATTTGGGATCGATATATATTGCTATATTGCTAGCTAAGGCGTGTGTCCTTGTGAGACATTTAGAGCAGATCGTCCCCATCATTTGAGATCGGTATACATATAGTTGGATTTTGATAGCTTTGCTTGTGTCCATGATTCAGTACTGATTGAGTTTGATAACGGACTGACCCTGGATAGATACATTTCTATAACTTGCTATGGAGTAGGTGTTTACTACAATCCTCTAAATGAACTCGTAATGTGCTAGACTCAAAATTTTCCGTAAATGATCCTATACATGACCCCTAAATGACCCCTAAACGACCCTTAATTATAATTTAGTAATGATGAGATGCACCAGACTTTGATGAGCCAGGATTCAGCTGTTACAAGGAATTAAACATTTACATGATTTTTTCAGGAAAAACTCTAAATATCATTGATTCTATTCTATTGTGTGTTCCAACCACAAAAAGTTCAGCAAATTTATGACGTATATGATAAAACTATTCAATGTCGAAACTTGTCGAAAATGGTCGAAAATTCCAATTGCATAAATGTCAGTTTTTAATGTGTTTTTTTTATGTCAATTTTATTCTTGTTTGAGATGCCAGCTTGACGAAAATTGTCGAAAATGGTCGAAAATTACAATTGCATAAATGTCAGATTTAATTATGTGTTGTTTTAAATCAATTTTATACTTCTTTGAGATGCCAGTTTGTCGAAAATTGACGAAAATTGTAGAAAATGGTCTAAATTCCATTTGCATATATGTCAGCTTTTAATGTTTTGTTTTATATCAATTTTATACATGTGTTTAAGATGCCAAATTATCGAAAATTGTCAAAAATTGTCAAAACTTGTCGAAAATGGTCAAAAATTCCAATTGCATAATGTCAGCTTTTAATGTGTTGTTTCATATCAATTTTATTCTTGCTTGAGATGCCAGTTTGTCGAAAATTGACAAAACTTGTCGAAATTCAACTCATTCAACTTAACTCATTTAACTTAATCAACTAATTCAACTTATTCAACTTATTCGTCTTGTCCATTAAAATTTAATTCAACTTGTTCATTAAAATTTATTCAACTTGTTCATTAAACTTATTCAACTTGTTCGTTAAAATTTATTCAACTTGTTCATTAAAATTTATTCAACTTATTCGTCTTGTTCATTAAAATTTAATTCAACTTGTTCATTAAAATTTATTCAACTTGTTCATTAAAATTTATTCAACTTGTTCATTAAAATTTATTCAACTTGTTCATTAAACTTATTCTACTTGTTCATTAAACTTATTCAACTTGTTCATTAAACTTATTCAACTTGTTCATTAAACTTATTCAACTTGTTCATTGAACTTATTCAACTTATTGAACTTATTCAACTTATTCAACTTTTTCAACGTATTCAACTTAATTAATTTGATCAACTGATTCAACTTATTCAACTTAATTAATTTTTTCAGCTTATTCAACATATTCAACTTATTCAACTTATTCAAATTATTTAAATTATTCAACTTATTCAACTTATTCAATTTAATCAACTGATTCAATCTGCAGATTAACAAAAAATCAATATCTCAATACCTCTACAATACAAGAGTTACCTGCTGAGATCTTATATAAGTACAATATTTCCTTGCATGGATATATCAACTCCAACTAGATTTAGTAAATGTTTAAAGCGTGGAAAAGCCTGAAGACTGTAACCGTGAAAAGTGCCCGACTTTGATGAGTCGATGTCCATTTGGGGGAAACTGTTTAGGTAATATTTTTCTTTATTTTTATTGTTTACTTATTAAAGTAGCTTCAGTCAGAGCTGAAAACTTTAGAATGGAATATCCTTAATCCCGATCGCTTAATTAACCTGGAGATTAATAACAAGAGGAGAACAAGCATTCTTTAATCACGAGATTAAGAGAAAGAGTGGATCAAGCCTTAACCCGGATATCCACAGTTTAAAGGTTTTCATCTCAGTTCAAAGGTTTTCATCTCTGGCCAAATCCAATAAATAGTAAGAGTAAGACGACAAAAAATAACTTGAAATCGAATGTCGTCTTTGTTTTAGAAATATGATTGGAAATACGGTAACATGATAGTGAATTTGAACGGCGTCAATCGACCATCTTTACTGGTTTCGCCCTCGCTGTACTGTACATTGTACATTGTTCATATTTGTAACAAAACCAATAATATTTACTTTTTCAAAATAGTACAGGGTGTCCCAATAGACATAGGAATTGAGAGAATACTTGAAAGTCTTTCTTTATTTCTGATATTTGAGGCATTTAAAAGAAAAGTAAAAAAAAACGAGGCTGGAGCCTGAACATCTTACTAGAATTTCATAAAGTGGTAGTAACCCCAAACTCAACTGTTGGCCGCCCTACTCGGTTACACCTTGGGTGATTAAAAAAAATTAAATCACAAACCAAGCCTGAAGTAAAGGCCCTTCTCAGTTCTCACCTATAGAGATAACATGGACAGATTGAAATTGGGTAACAAGGTCACTGTATAATCGCTTTCTTTAAGTGAACGGTGAATGTGATGACGATGGGTGCAAATGCGAAGTTACAATCAATTGCAGAACGGAGAAAGGGTAAGTTTAACAAGTTTAACAAGCTTGCTCAGTGCTCAGTGGCAAAGAAGTAAGGAATTATGGCATGAATTTTACTTAAACTCAAGTTTCAAACATTTAAAAACCTTGCAGTAAAATTATGATTAATTTTTTTCCAAAATATTCTAAAAATTTTCTAAAATTGAGATTAGTTGATTGTTTAATCTTCACCGCTTGTTCAGGATAATTGCATTTTCACGCCTCCACGCCCCGCCTGTTTTGGGTTAAAAGTCTCATCAACTTTAGAGACAGGGTCGACTTTGGACTGTCCCAACGCCTAGGGCTTTACTTTTACCACTCTAACTCATTTATGCTTTACTGTTGTCCTTACCATTTCCATTTTAGCACTGTAAAGAAATTGTTGTTAGCTTTGGTTTTTTAAGAATTAATGTCAAAATTCTAATCGATTTTGTGTGAGGGCTTCAGAACTTAAAGTTGTTTTGCGTTATTATTCTATTTGCACTTCACACATTAGTTTCAAGTCCCGTTTTTCCGTCAATTTTCTGTACGTGTCATGTCATGTAATGTAGCTCTGGCCGGTACAATACTTCATCATGAACCAGCTCTAGTCGGTACAGTACTTCATCACGAACCAGCTCTAGCCGGTACAGTACTTCATCATGAACCAGCTCTAGCCGGTACAGTACTTCATCATGAACCAGCTCTGGCCGGTACAGTACTTCATCACGAACCAGCTCTAGCCGGTACAGTACTTCATCATGAACCAGCCGGTACAGTACTTCATCATGAACCAGCTCTGGCCGGTACAGTACTTCATCATGAACCAGCTCTGGCCGGTACAGTACTTCATCATGAACCAGCTCTAGCCGGTACAGTACCCCATCATGAACCAGCTCTAGCCAGTACAGTACATGAACCAGAGTTTGTAGTTGTGTAACTACAATATACCTCCTTAATCAGAAATTAAAAGTCTGAAAAATCTTTTAGGTCTGAAAAAGAAGTAAAAATGCAGAAGACACGGCATAAGGTAAATAAATCATAATAAAAATTGTACTCCAAAATAAATGGACTGTAGACCTTTGTATTTTCAAGTGACCCCCATTTTAAGAGTAGCATGTCCCATTCACAACAGTACCCTTTAAACCTTTGATTAGCATGGAGGAAGATATCGTTATTTGTCTGATATGACCTGTGTTAAATTCGGACGATTTTCCTTTTTGTCTTTGCTGCATTAATCCACAACTCACTATTATAGAAAAACTAATAATTGAAATGATAAATTTAAGTAAGTAGAAACTGACAATTAAAATTGCTCTGATTTCAGTGTACACTTTTTATGCCAAAATTTTGGAACATTTTTTCAGTCTTGCTTGAAAGGAAAACATGATCCAACAAAGTGTAATCTATGGGGACAAGCTGCATGTAATAAGAAAAAGAAAAACAAATGTAAAGAAGTGAGTATCTTTTATTTTCAGAACTGAAAGGGATTGTTCACCGAATTCAAAATTTGTCCCTAAGTTCAGAACTAATAAGTGTTTTTTGTACGATGGTAAGCGATCTTATCAACATAACGAAGACGACTTTCGATTTCAGTTTTAATCTATATCAAGCTTTTAAAAAGCATGGATAGACAAAAAAATGGAAACCAAAAGAATCTGTCAATTAAAAAAGCTTATCTTTAATTATTTAAAAACATGTAATTAAAAAAAAAGCTTTTTAACAATAAAAACTTAAATTAAAAGTTGTCTTCCTTATATTGATAATATTACCAACCACCGTATATTTTTTGGTATTTGCAAAGAATTTGAAAATTATAAAGCATATATCCCTTCTTTCAAAATTACACAAAATTCTTTATTGTTTTCAATATTTTATGATATCTTAATATCTTACAATTTGTTTTTCAAACAAATGGTCGATTAACTTCAATTCTTATTCTAGTTAAAATAATAGATTTTTAAAGAAAGGACATTTCACAGATAGGACATTTCATAGATAGGACATTTCAAAGATTGGACATTTCATAGATAGGACATTTCATAGATAGGACATTTCAAACATAGGACATTTCAAACATAGGACATTTCATAAATAGGACATTTCAAAGATAGGACATTTCATAGATAGGACATTTCAAAGATAGGACATTTCATAGATAGGACATTTCAAAGATAGGACATTTCATAGATGGGACATCTCAAAGACAGAGAAATTTAATCATTGTTTTTTATCTTCAAAGTAATCTTATTTAATAAATACCCTGCTATTTCAACAACTTTTCTGATTTTTGCTTCACATTTCTTCTCCGTCTATGAAATTACCTGACTATGAAAATTATTCTGTCCATGAAAATTCCTGTCTTTGAAATGTCCTATCTGATAAATGTCCTGTCGATGATTTGTATGAAATGTCCATCTATGAAATGTCTTTTTATAAAGTGGTATAACACCCTAACTACAGGCGAACAATTTCTCTGAGAGAAAATTTGTAAATTGGCTTTTGTTTAAATATATTCAGGCTGGAACTTGTGAAATATCAACAGTCAATGAATGCTGTTTTGTTCTAACCTGCTTGGCAGTGTCTGACGTTAATAAAACTGGAAATAATACAAACAATGATCTGCCCGGGGGATCTGAATCTGGGAATGATTATAGCAACGATGATGGATATGATTATGGGGATAATGGTGGAAATGGTTATAGTGCAAATAGTTCAACAACTTTAGCACCAGCTGTGCCTGGGTCAAATTCTACAACTCCTGCAATTGGTTCTACTGCTTCCAGTTTAGAGCAGTCTGAAGCTAGTACTGAACAACCACCAGCTTCAAGCACGGTCCTGCCAGAAGGTTCAGATCCTGTATCAGAGCTAATAGCTGGTTTAACAAACGCAACTGATGCTACTGGTAACTCTACTGCAAACAATGATAACGATTTGCAGAAGAATGATTCATCCAAGGATGAAAATTTAATCATGAAAACTATTACAATTGAAGTCATGAAGCCAGGCCAGGACAACCAAACTGGAGTTGACAATTCTACAGCTACTGACTTAACATACGGAACAGAGGGTTCAGTCTCATCTGATCTAATGTCTACGGATAATTCTGAAGCAGGTAATTCATCCACCATGGTCAGTATTACAGACACAACAACAAATAATCCCTCTGAGAATGCTGAAGATGGAAGTATTACAGATGATGAAAATAATGCTGGAGATGGAAATACGAATAAAGATAGTAATAACACTTCAATTAGTGAAAATTCAGTCACACCAAGCCCTGCTACTTATGAAAATGGTAACAATTTTATTTTAGATGATTTAACTTATGTTTTATTTGTGTTTTAGCCATCTAAACATGTTTTAGAATGAAAATTTACAAGTTTATAAAAACTTTACCAATTTCAACTCAGTGTCTTTTTTTAGGTTCAGAAAACTCAACAGATGAAAATTCTTTGAAACCTGATGGATACAGTGAGAAAGAAAAGCCAAGAGGGTATAATCAGGTTGGAGATGACTATGCTCTAAGTCCGCCAGAAGATGAACAATTAAATATAGAACCCAATAACTTGGAAGATAATTCAGAAAATGACAGTGGTTCTGGATCTAGCACCAAATCAGGAAATGATTCTGAACAAAATGCATCCACAACTGAAGTAAATACTGAAAGTGAAATTGGTTCTGGATCTAGCACAGAATCAGGAAATGATTCTGAAATGCATCCACAACTGAAGTAAATACTGAAAGTGAAATTGGTTCTGGATCTAGCACAGAATCAGGAAATGATTCTGAACGAAATGAATCCACAACTGAAGTAAATACTGAAAGTGAAATTGGTTCTGGATCTAGCACAGAATCAGGAAATGATTCTGAACTGAATACATCAACAGCTGAAGTAAATACTGAAACCACCTTGGGAGCAGTAAAAACTCCAATAATTGGAGATGATTATGCTTTGGATCCGTCTGATGATGGGAAAACAGATGCAGAAAAAAATAATTCTGAAAATGATTCAGAAGCAGGAAGTGGTTCCGAATCTAGCACCGAATCAGGAAATGAGTCTGAACTGAATACATCGACAGCTGGAGCAAATACTGAAAGTGAAAGTGGTTCTGGATCTAGCACTGAATCAGGAAATGATTCCAAACTGAATACATCAATAACTGGAGTAAATACTGGAAGTGAAAGTAGTTCTGAATCTAGCACAGATTCAGGAAATGATTCTGAACTGAACACACCAACAACTGGAGTAAATACGGAAACCACTTTGGGAGCAGTAAAAACTCCAATAATTGGAGATGACTATGCTTTGGGTCAGCCTGATGATGGGGAAACAGATGTAGGAAGCAATAACCCTGAAAATGATTCAGAAGCAGGAAGTGGTTCTGAATCTAGCACTGAATCTGGGAACAGTGATGATGGTACTGCATCAACAAAAGTATTAAAAATTGAAATATCAGGTCCACCGGAGGAATATGAAGAAGGAAGTAACTCTGCTGGAGCCAATCCTGACAATTCTGTTGATAATATTGAACAAAATACTAATGGAAAAGATGGTTCTGGAGCAAATGCTGACTCTACCTCAGACAACTCTGATAGAGGCAATGGGAAAAACCCAGATTTACCACCAGATAGCTCTAATAATGGTAACGGAGGTAATACAGATGAAAATGATAATAGCAGTGGGCCAAATGCAGAAGGTGATAGATCCAATGTAAATGAAAATGATGGTTCTGAAGCCAATAATGATCCACCCACTGATAACTCTGAGACTGGAAACAGATCCAATGTAGATGGAGACAATGGTTCCGGAGCTAATAATGAATTTTCACCTGACAACACTGACAATGGCAACAAATCCAATGTAGATGAAAATGATGGTTCTGGTACCAATTCTGATTCACCCACTGATAACTTTGATACTGAAAACAGATCCAATGTAGATGGAAATGATGGTTCTGGAGCCAATAATTATTCACCCACTGATAATATTGAGAATGGCAACAGATCTAATTTAGATGGAAGCGATGGTTCTGGAGACAATAATGATTTACCAACCGATAACTCTGAGAATGACAACAGATCCAAGTTAGATGGAACTGATGGTCCTGGAGCCAATAATGATATACCCCCAAAAAATTCAGAGACTGGAAACAAATCCAACATAGATGGAAATGATGGATCTGGAGCTAATACTGATTCACCCACTGGCAACACTGAAAATGGCAACAAATCCAATGTAGATGAAAGCGATGGTTCTGAAGCTAATACTGATACACCCACTGACAACACTGAGAATGGCAACAGATCCAAGGGAGATGAAAACGATGGTTCTGGAGCTAATAATGATTCCCCCACTGATAACTCCGAGACTGGAAACAGATCCAGCGTAGATGAAAATGATGGTTCTGGAGCCAATAATGATTTACCCCCAAAGAATTCAGAGACTGGAAATAGATCCATTCTAGATTTAGATAAAAATAGTGATTCAGGACCTAGTAATGAGGAAAAGGGAGGTTCAGATCCTAATTTGAATAGAAAAGAAGGTTCAGGACCTAATACTGAGGAAAAGGATGGTTCTGGAACTAATGCTAATGAAAAAGAAGGTTCAGGAACAAATGTTGATGAAAAAGAAGGTTCAGGACCTAATACTGAGGAAAAGGAAGGTTCAGATCCTAATTCTAATAAAACAGAAGGACCCAATACTGAGGAAAAGGAAGGTTCAGGACCCAATTCTGAGAAGAATGAAGGTTCAGAAACCAATACTGATGTGCCCTCTGAGATCACTACTAGTTTAACCAAGGATAGTACAGATGATTCTGCTAAAGAAAATGGAGACACTGATTCAAGCAATTACTATGAAGATAGTTACAAAGATGCCAAAATTTCAGCACCTGAAGTTGACAATAAAGAAAGTAGTTCAACTGATAATACTAATAATGAAGAAAATCCTGATGCAGAACAAACTTCATTGAGCGGAAATAAAGAAAATCCTAGCACAGATGCGAATTATGAAGATGACTCATATTCTGATAAGAATTCAAAAAACAATGATGAAGATACTCCCCAACTGAAATCAGACAAAACGGAAAAGGAAACCTCTTCAGTACAGAATGAGAATTCTGGGGATGGAGCCAAGGCAGATCCTGAAGGTAGTTCTGATGGAAATAAAGCTCTAAACAGAATGGAAAATGTTGATGAAAGTACTGATCCAACTGAAATTGATGATAAAAAGGACACAAAGGTAGATAAAAGAAAAAGCAATGATAAAGAAGAATCTTCAGGAAATGGAAATCCAGCAGAAGCCTTTCGTAGTTATGAAGAAGATGGGAGAAACATGACTAAAGATTCCAAAACCAAAAATGTTGATGAATTATCAACCACAGAAGAAAACTATGAATCAGATTTAACAACTCCAAAAATAGTTCAGTATCCATTTGACGAAGGCAGTGGAAGTTTTGCTGACACACTTCAGAGCATAAAAAATGAATCAGATTCAGATTTAACAACTCCTAAAATAGTTCAGTATCCATTTGATGAAGGCAGTGGAAGTTTTGCTGACACACTTCAGAGCATAAAAAATGAATCAGATTCAGATTTAACAACTCCTAAAATAGTTCAATATCCATTTGATGAAGGCAGTGGAAGTTTTTCTGACACTCTTAAGAGCATAAAAAATGTTAATCCAGAAGAAGAGATGTCTGAATATGAGGGCGATGATAGTGAACCAAAAAAAAGGTTACCAAGCAAAAAATTTATATTTTAAATGTAGATTTTTTCAACATTTTATTTAGAAAACGGAAGACACAAACCATTGAGTATGGATATAACGGGCATCCATCTGCCAAGGAGATGCTTGAAAAGCATATGTGTGACAAAGCTGTTCTATGCGCGGTAAGCCAAACTTCAATATCCAATAGTTTTTGCAAACCTTTTATAGCTTATATTATACTTAAAGATGAAACTAGATTATAACTTAAAAGAACTTGTCATTTACATTTAATTTGAAATCAGTTATAATGAAAATGTAGCATGGAAACTTTAATTTTGGAAAGGTCTTTGTTATCTAAAGAATGAAAGTATTTTGAGAATAAGACAACTCACCTGCTAAATTATTGCTCAATTCTAGAGTTGTATCCCCTTCAATAAGCAACTATTTAACCAATAAAAGCAACAAATTCAAATAAAAAAGATATTGATTTTGATGTTGAATTAAGATCTTTTCTGAGGCTTGTGAATATTATCTCCACAATAGTATTGAATAAAAATATTACTAATTCATAACCTTATCAAAGTTTTTTTTTGTGCATACTGCAGTGATCTAAACGTACTTTGAACAAAGAAATAGTGTGCTTCAGTAGTGAGTACCTCTTTAATAAACATTCCCTTTAATATTTCTATGTGTTAAGACTCTGGCAGAGAATAAGATGTGTAAGGAAGGAGAACTGTCCTGTAACGTAGTACAGACCTGCCAAGGGGATAAATGTCAATGTGAGGTGGATGCTGATTGTCTAGTTGCAGGTATACTATCAACATTTTTATTTTAGATTTTTCAAATTAATTTTTTAAATAGATGGTTCGAGATCACGCAAATCCGCCGCTTTAGTGTTTGTAAATTTAATTTAACCAGTTGTAGCCTAAAGTCAGACCTGGTCAGCCTATAAACCTATAAACCCTGGGGCAGTACAAACTAGGACCGTAAGGGTCGGTACATGACAGTTCAGTTTTAAATGCATATTTTTGGACCGTTTCATTAAATCCTCTTCTTGGCTAAATTAAAACGTCTTTTGTGCTTCTTTATTTGATTTTGATAGGTATATATAGGTTTATAACAGATGATAGTTTAAACAAGCGAGTACAGAGATCTATTAATGGCTAAAATATACGATATTTTCCACAGCAGGTTCCATTGTGTACAACTGGCGTACACGACCAATAAACAGACGTCTGTATTCAGGGATGTTTAAGGATCCTTTGGATACAAAAAAAAACCTTCAGAAAGAGACAAAATAAAAAAATTTCATATTTTATGTTAAAAGTAAGAGTATTTCTTTAAAGTTTGTAAAACTTAAACCGCAACAAGTGGCCGTTAGTTTGCATTCGAAAACCTTTTTTGGAATGTAGCATATGGCATACCAGTAAAACTTTAGGTCTGCTTAGCGTTTACCAAGAAAAAAAAAGCATTTAGAAAAGAGCAAACTGAAAATTCTTTTTTATTGAAGTACACTCATCAAACTCTTTATATTTCCAGAGTAAGGATTTATTGCACTTAATACAATATTACGTTTATCTAGATATTCAATAATTTATTATTAGCAAAATCAATACAAATATGGTTTTTATTAGAAATATTGTTGCCCTTGATAAAATATCATCTTTCTACTGCTGGGAATTCCATATAATTTAGTAATTTGTTTCATCTAGAATTATATTCATTCAAATGCAGCATACCTACAGTACGGTGGTAACCGATTATATCAATACAATGAAGACGACTTTCGATTTTCAAATTTTAGATATACTTTATGACTTTAAATAATCCTATGAATAATGAAAACCACCGACCAATATTTAATAAGTTTATTTTCAAGCTTATGGAAAACCTTTCTGACAACAACATAATAATGTTGAAATGCTTAGAAAAAATATCCCCCCTTTTCACAGTTTTATGGATCCCACTGTATTTCTAGGGATCCTGACCAGCGGGGATATCTCTGAGCTCCAAATGTATGGAGCGGCCTGTATAAACATGGCAGGATTAAATCACGATAAAGATGGCGCTGATAAAATTGAGAACTTGAAACCTGACCGTACAGCCCAGGAGAAGCAGTGCAAATCTACCTGCGACAGTATTTCCAGCATAGATCAGGAAACAGCATGTTTTTCTTTAAATGGTTTTTTTCCCAAAAATATTAAACAAAACAATTTGCCAAAATATCATAATAAGATTTCATATACAGGGTTTTCCATAAGTTGTTTGATTATATGACAGTCATATTATAGTAAAATTGATTTCACAGTGAAATATAGTTGATTTAAACATTTTTTTAAAGAAATAAACCGTGTAAGGTCTTTAATATCTAATAATGCAGTATGGAAGAAGACATTCAAAACTATTCTCCAACTGTCATGTTTCGTGGCAAACCTTGTATGTAAAACTCATTAAAAGGGACTGATCTCATAATTTTAAAAAACCCTCCATGTCCGATTCACAATGGTAATCTGATCAATACAATATAGAAGAAAACGACGTTTTCTAGCTGAACAATTTTTTATTTTAAAAACTTTTCTTTTGTTTTCTTTGTAAAAATGTCACTTTTGCAGAGAAACCAAAAATGAAAATATTAAGTTTTTATAAACAAAAAAAAAATATCTTATTCATCCATTATCAGAAAAAGCTTCTAAAGGTACAGTTGTAAATCAGACATGCCACTATAAAGGTCATGCACTAAGAAGAAAAGCAATTACAGTCACCCTAAAACTTATTGTACAACAACTCAAATTGAATTTTAAACCTTTAAAGGGCCCATAGTTTTTAATTCAAGTGACCCTCCATTTAAAGAGAGTTATGTCAGATTCGCAACAGTACCCTTTGAACCTTTATTTGATCAATAATGTAGAAAATACCTTTTTACCAAAAAAAGTTTGAGCAAATATAATTTGTCACTTTTTAAACAGAGGGTCACTTGAAAAAGCGCTTACAGTCCCTTTAAGCTGATGTTTACATAGAATTACAAACTGTTTAGTTGTGTAATGGAACCGCGCCAAGGTACAATTTTTTAAAAATAATTTAGGCAAGAAAAAAATTTCCTTTTTCTAGTTCTTGTAAAACTGATTTCTCTTGTGAAGAGGAATGTAAATGCTGGATAAATACAGATTGTCCTCCTCTTTCCCCAGGTAACAGACTTTATTTACCCAGGTAAAAAACTTCTTTTTCCCTAGGTAACAAAATTTATTTTCCCCAGGTAACAAACTTCATTTTCCCCAAGTAACAAACTTAAATTTCCCCCAGAAAACTTCATTTCTCCCAGGTAACAAACTTCATTTCTCCCAGGTAGCAAACTTCATTTTCCCCAGGTAACAAACTTCATTTTCTCCTGGTAGCAAACTACATTTTCCCCAGTTGAAAAAAATAATTTTCCCCAGGTAATAAACTTATTTTGCCCAGGTAGCAACCTTCATTTTCCATAGGTAGCAAACAACATTTGCCCCAGGTAGTAAACTTCATTTTCCCCAGGTAGCAAAACATAATTTTCCCCATTTAACAAACTTGATTTTCCCCAGGTAGCAAACATAATTTTCCCATTTAACAAACTTGATTTTCCCAAACTTCATTTTCCCTAGGTAGCAAATAATATTTTCCCCAGGTAGCAAACTTCATTTTCCACATTTAACAAACTTGATTTTCCCCAGGTAGCTAAAGTTGAAATCCCCATGTAGCAAATTTTATTTTCTCCTTGTAGCAAACTTCAATTTTAAGACTTACCAAATAAAAAAACAAATTTCTGAATATAATAAATGTAACAGGAGACCAGGCTGCAGACCAGGAGGATGAGGAGGAATCAGGAACTGAAAAAGAAAAGAAGGAGAATGTTCCTAAAGATGAAGCTGAACAAGTAGATGAAAATGGCAATGACTATTCCAATGATGATGAATATGAAGATGAAGATGCTGAAGCTCTGAATGAGGAAGATGACGCACAAGATGGAGATGACGACGATGAAGGTGAAGATGAAGAAGAAGAAGAAGAGGGTGAAGATGAAGACGAAGAAGCATTGGATGAAGAAGATGCAGAAGATGGAGAAGAAGAAGATGAAGATGCAGAAGTTGGAGAAGAAGAAATTGGAGATGAAGGCGGAAATGATTATTCAGACGATGGAGATGATGATTATGAGGATGGAGCAGAAAAAAATTCGATTGAGTACAGTGAAGAAGAAGATGAGGATCTTCTTGGAGAGGAATTTGGTCAAAACTACTCTGATGATGATGGTGAAGAGACTGCTGATGAGGATGAGGTTGAAGAATCTGAAGTAACAAACATCAGTCAGAAAGTGACAAGACCAACATTTTACCAAGCTCATATATTCCCTATTAGTGTAATAGATGCGCTTCAGGTAATTCTTTTATAAGAATCTGGAATTTAAAAAAACATGATTTTATAGAAAGAAATTTTGGTTTTGAAAAAAAAATCTTGAATTCGTCGAAAGAAATTTTGGTTTCCTAGAAAAAAATCTTGATTGAAAAAAGAAGAAACCTTAATTTAAAAGAAAATAATCTGAATTTCTAGAGAGAAATATTGATTTAAAGGGAGTGACCGGCTATGTTAGGTAGTTGAACTGAGTATCCAGTGTTGTGGAAAACTTCTTTCGGATTCATTTGAGACATATTAAACTTTTTAAAGATCTGTAAATCCTGAGAAATATATATTGATTTCCTCGAAAGAAATCTTGTCTTCATGAAAAGAAATCTTGATTTTCAAGAAAGAAATCTTGATATGATGAAACGACATTTTGATTTCATGGAAGGAAATCATGATTTGATAAAAAAAATCTTGATTTTCAAGAAACAAGCCTTGGTATTTGAGAAAGATAATCTGAATTTAATGAAGAAAACTTGATCATGAAACAATCTTGATTTTTTGAAAAGAAATCTTGATTTTTTATGAGAAATCTTGATTTGATGAAAAAAATCTTGATTAAATTGTCTGGCTAGGATGGAGGTGAGATAACTGTTGATGTCTCGAATGAGAAAGCCTGCTCTTCTGAAGAATACTGCAGTCAAATAGGATTCTTCTGTCCAGCAAAGTAATTTATAATAACTTTCTTGTCCCGGCTGATCACTTTTATGTCCCGGCTGATCACTTTTTTGTCCCGGCTGATCACCTTATTGTCCCGGCTGATCACTTAATTGTCCCAGCTAACAATTTTATTGTCCCGGATGATCACTTTCTTGTCCCGGCTCATCGGAAACTCTGTATAAAACGACGTGTGACCTCCTTAATACGGATAAATGCACCATCAATAACCCTTAACAATATTTATCAGCCTGTATAAGATTATGTTTACAGTCCCATTAATCAATATTCATTAACGAATCCCTTTAACATTTACAGTGATAGTCAGAAAACAATAGAATAGGAAGACAATATTTTAGCAGTAATTAATCGTATTTGATGTTTTTACAAAGCAAAGCGTCTTACCAGACACTTATCAAATCGCTAATTACACTGCACAATTTCTGTGGCTCATGCTCATTCGACTTTTTAAAGCTATAATTTGATTCTAAAAGTCGTCTTTCGTGTTTTCTGGTTATCAGTTTAGTGAATTATATTTGTAGGTCTGGTGACTGTGATGTATCAGCGGACTGCAGTGCTCCAACTCAATGTAAATGTACAATAAAAGTTGATTGTAGAACCAGTAAATAATGTAGATATATATTTTTATACTCCAAATAACATTTTAGAAAATAATAAATAAGTTTAACAATTAATCAATCAATAACGTTTTCTTTTTCTTCGAAGTCGTCTTCGTTCCTCCTCGGATCCAGTGAAGAAGAAGAAATCTTTAAATCAAAGTTTTTAAATTATTTCTTAAATATGATCTATTCATCGGAAGATGAGTAAAATGTGGGTAAAATATTGGATATTTGTTGATAACTTGTCTTTTAGTTTTAGATAAAATTTACTTTCGATCAAACTTCAATTTAAAAAAAACTTTCCTAAGCAAAAATCATCACTCTCTGTCAGTTCAACAACATCTGCGCAAGCCTAGAAAAAAAATATCTCTTTTATATTTTGCTTTTTTTACAATGAACGACAATTGTATGAGACAGTGCAACCTTTAAACATATGTGAAAATATTTCTTGACCAGCTTGATTAAGTTGAAGTTTTTTTTTCTAAGTTACCTGTTTGCTTATATAATTACAAATATGTTACCGCCTGGTAACAGAATATTTGACCCAGAACGAAGCAATCGTTTAAAATTCGTTAACAATATCTCATATTTGCTTCAATATTTTACAAAATGCAGTATAAGAAAACACGTTTCAAAAACACAATGATTGTTCTAACTATAAAATTCTGCTATATTAAAAACACTATGACTGTTCTAACTATAAAGTTCTGCTATATTAAAAACACAATGACTGTTCTAACTATAAAATTCTGCTATATTAAAAACACAATGACTGTTCTAACTATAAAATTCTGCTATATTAAATACACAATGATTGATCTAACTATAAAGTTCTGCTATATTAAAAACACAATGATTGTTCTAACTATAAAATTCTGCTATATTAAAAACACAATGATTGTTCTAACTATAAAATTCTGCTATATTAAAAACACAATGATTGTTCTAACTAATCCGGCGCGCTCCGCGCGCCAAATTAAAAATATTTACCCCCCCTAAAGAATCCTTATGTCCGCCCCTGGTTCTAACTATAAAATAACTATAAAATAACTATAAAATTCTGCTATATTAAAAACACAATGATTGTTCTAACTATAAAATTCTGCTATATTAAAAAAGTAAAGTTTGTTGGAAGATTTTAATTCCTTTGTGTATCGTTCACTTCCGCTTTTAAGTTAAAAGTTCAGCATGATACATCTTTCCCGGGTAACAATGGTGCAGATAACATTCAAGATGTTAAAATTTAAACTTCCAGTTCAAGTTTGAGGAAATTCAATCCATCCGGTTACATATAAAAAATTCAAGACACTTAATAATAAGATGTATGATTCAAAACGTTCACATTCGTGCCATGGTATATTTTTTACTGGCATTTTTGACCTTAAAAACGAATATCTAAGACAAACAGAAGACAAATCCCATGCATGAACAAATTGAAGAATTGAAGATTTAATGGTTTTCTTCGATATTTTGGTCTTTTTGAGGCCGATCCTAACATAACAAAGTAGTCCGCCAGCCACGTTTTATATATTTATATTTTACAAAATGGTTTTTTTGAAATTAGATATTTTTCTTTGTCTTTTTTACCCTAAAATATTTCATAAACAAAAACAAGAATTTGAAAAATTTCGTTAGTTAATATTTTTACTCGAGCTTCTAAATTTTTTAAGATTTTCCAGCCCTGTCCCCGTTAAATAAAATATTTGTTTCCCTTATATTAAGCTGTTTGCAAAATTTCGGTCAAATCAGAGATGATCACTTCTGGAGCATTTCCTTTTTTAGAATACCCTGCTCCTGAGCTAGATTATATAATAGTAAAAACCTCCGTTTTATTATATTTATAATTCGGATAATCCTATAATACATGTTTCAAAGAAGAATATAAAAACGGAAAGATGTTTTGTATTTTTTACCTCTTTAATCATGTCAGTACATTTCATTTCTCCCTCTTCTCTCAGTTTTCGGCCTCGTTCTCTGCAAAATTAAAATTATCATTTGAAATGGGAAAAAAAGACATCGAAGACTTTAATCTTTATTTTGTCTTTTCTCATAAACATCGAAAATACTTGCAAAATAAATTCCGTTTTAGGGTTGAAACTTGCAAGGTTAATTCGGTGTTTCTTTGATTTAAAAAAACCGTCAACATACTGAAGGTTGGGGTGGAGGGTTTGTGTACCTATATAGCAGAGATAAGAAAGTACAGAGATTAGATGGCAGTCAAAAACCTTTCGAAGGAATGTAGCATGTCATGCCGGTACGACTATAGACCTATTTAGCATAGCCCGTGAATGCTTATTAGTCTAATCTGTCACAGTAATAGGTGTACAAAAAACATATCCCCTCTACCTTTTGTAGGCACACCTTGCATAATGGTTACCTTAAACCTTTTTCTGAGTAAAACTGAGTTTTTGCGATTCCTCTAAATACGCTACTTGCAGATTTGCGCAGCGGAGTGAGAAAAATTAACAGAATAAATCTACTTGAAATATATTTTCATCATTGTTTAAAAAGTACCATTGTCAATGGGACATGAAACTCTTTAAATGTGTGGTCATTTTAAATTCCATTGATAGTCCCCAAATGTCTTACGCGAAATCATCTTCCACTTCTTTTCTTCTAACTGCTGCTCGTTCCTCTAGTTCAGCTCTTGTTCTATTGCTCAGTTCCATCCCTCGCATCTCATATTCTTGCCTTTAAAAACAAATATTTTCATTGAAAATTTGTTTTTATATAAACTAGCTGAAGTGTCGGACGTTGCCCGCGGATTTTTAAAAAAAATCGAAATTTGAAAAAAAAAATTATTGATGAAGAAAACAGTTTTGATTTTTGAAAAAAAATCGAGTTTTTTAGCCTTTGTTATCCCAAGGATGCCCATGGGTTACCTAAATAAATTTCAGCCAAATTGGTCCAGAAGTTTGGCCAACTATAGCCAACATATTTGTTTCATTGTAAATATGTTTCATTGTAAATATGTTTCATTGTAAACATGTTTCATTGTAATGATGTTTCATTGTAAATATGTTTCATTATAATATGTTTAATTATAATATGTTTCAAATTGTCAATATAATTCATTGTAAATATGTTTCATTGTAAATATGTTTCATTGTAAATATGTTTCATTGTAAACATGTTTCATTGTAATGATGTTTCATTGTAAATATGTTTCATTATAATATGTTTAATTATAATATGTTTCAAATTGTCAATATAATTCATTGTAAATATGTTCCATTGTAAATATGTTTCATTGTAAATATGTTAGCCATAGTTGACCAAACATAAGGACCAAATGGGCTGAAGTTTTTTTAGGAAACCAATGAGTACCCTGGAGGTAACAAAGGTTTAAAAAATCTAATTTAATTGTAAATATATTTCTCTCCTAAAAACCATGAGCCTCTTTATGGCCAACAAGATTAAAATCTACAATTGAAAAATGTATTTTTTTTGGACTTACATAATTTCTCTCATGAGGACCTCTCCTCGCTTTCTCAATTCAATTTCAACTCTAAACAAAAATACTTTCATGGAGACAAACAAATTAACTTATTAATTTCACTCTAATTGTTTAATCAATTCATTCTACAGTTTGAGGAAATTAAACTAACTGAGTAATAGAATCACATGGAAAATAGTTAAACCCCTTGTTGTGAACTTGTGTCCGAATGTTGATTCTAATTTATAATGTAATCAAATATTTTTGATATTCTTTAAACTAAATTTTTAAAAATTCTCTTTTTTACTTTGCCATGACGACCTCTCCTCTGAGCCGAGTGGTTTGTTCAATCTGAAAATAAAACACTCTTCAAACTTAAAGAAATGATAATGTCATTAAAAATGACGAAATATTAATTTTTTCAACCTTAGAACATATTTTGTCTTCCAGAATTTATTAAATCAAAACATGTTATAATTCTCTTGAAATATTTTTATTGGAGTAACAAAGATAAAATTACAAATCTTAAAATTATAAATTCTCAAAGTGTATGATTTTATTACAAACAAATTTTCCAAGATAATAAGTTTTCAATCAATAATTTTGAAAAAGAATTTTACGCAAAATAGCAAAGTTTAAAAAAGCGTTTTTGACAGTATTTACCAAAAAGATACTTTCCTAAAAGCGCTCTGGTGTGTTAAATTATGTGGAGAAAGTGATGTGGATAAGAGCGTGTTATATTTGTTGTTAATTTTGAGATATTTTATTCTCATAAGAAAGTATATTTACCCTTTCTCGTTCTTTTTGTCCTCTCGCTTCATACTGTGCCTGGAGTTCTGCTTGCACTTTTTTTCCTCTTTCTTCAAACTCTTTTCTGAATTATTAATATTTACAAAAATAGATTTGAGCTTTTGACATAAACTTAGATTTTTATATCCCTATATCTTTGCAGCCCGACTCCATAGACCTTTGATAATACAAACTCACGCAAATCTGCCCCTTTAGTAAAAGTGAATTCAACTTATATGAAGCATAAGGTCTGACCACGTCAACCTTGTTGCACCGGCTAGTCCTTTCCAAAGAGCTAGGTACAGTACAAACTGGGACCGAAAAGGTTGACCCGGCTCGGAAATTCAAATGTACTACGGCTGCCCGTGAACTATTAATTAGATTAATTAAAAAGTCTAAATACTAAAGGTTTCTACTTTCTGGTTTCAAAGATATAGGAATTGCATAACTTGAATTTGTGGCACGAACACAGTTTACTTTTTTACATAGTCCAACCTTAGTGCTTAGTCACCCAAGCATATTGAGCAGGGCACCATATAATTCCTTCTAATACGATTCAAAATTTTGATTTAATGGTATTTTGGGCAAACATTCATATGGTTGTTGTAAACAAGTGGAAGTATGGAAAACACCGCAAATGCAGGACACATTTCTGAAGTGTAGTAAACGTTCACAAAAAAACTTGACAAAGTTTAAAATGACACAGAAAGGGTCTGTTTATGCCATTGAATTAGATTTAATATTGTTTTGGTTTGTAATATGAATATTTAATATTGTTTTGGTTTGTAATATGAATATTTAAACTTGTTTGGTTTGTAACATGTATATTTAAACTTGTTTGGTTTGTAATATGAATACTTAAACTTGTTTGGTTTTTAATATGAATATTTAATATTTTTTGGTTTGTAATATGAATTTTTAAACTTGTTTGGTTTGTAACATGTATATTTAAACTTGTTTGGTTTGTAACATGTATATTTAAAGTTGTTTGGTTTGTAATATGTATATTTAAACTTGTTTGGTTTGTAACATGTATATTTAAACTTGTTTGGTTTGTAATATGAATATTTAAACTTGTATGGTTTGTAATAAGTATATTTAAACTTGTTTGGTTTGTAACATGCATATTTAAACTTGTTCGGTTTTTAATATGTATATTTAAACTTTTTTGGTTTTTAATATGTATATTTAAACTTGTTTGGTTTGTAACATATTTAAAGTTGTTTGGTTTGTAATATGTATATTTAAACTTGTTTGGTTTGTAACATGTATATTTAAACTTGCTTGGTTTGTAATATGAATATTTAAACTTGTATGGTTTGTAATAAGTACATTTAAACTTGTTTGGTTTGTAACATGTATATTTAAACTTGTTTGGTTTGTAATATGAATATTTAAACTTGTATGGTTTGTAATAAGTATATTTAAACTTGTTTGGTTTGTAACATGCATATTTAAACTTGTTCGGTTTGTAATATGTATATTTAAACTTGTTTGGTTTTTAATATGTATATTTAAAGTTGTTTGGTTTTAATATGCATATTTAAAGTTGTGGTTTTTAATATGTATATTTAAAGTTGTTTGGTTTTTAATATGTATATTTAAACTTGTTTGGTTTTTAATATGTATATTCAAACTTGTTTGGTTTGTAACATGTACATTTAAACTTGTTTGGTTTGTAATATGTATATTTAAACTTCCTTCTTTGAGTCCTTTTAGATCTTGTTTTTTGTTTGTGGATAACCCTCTTTATTATACTTTGTCTTGCAAATTTTGTTCTTTGTACCAAACAATATTTTTGCCTTTTGTTCAAATTCTGTTAAATGGTGGTATGTAAACTGACGATTACTACATATTTTTTACTCACCTTTAAAAAAGAAGAAGAGTATATATACCTTAATTTAACTTCTTCTTGTGCCCCAAGATTAGTATAAAACTTCTGCAATCTTTCTTCCTCTAACTTACCCAGTGCACTAAAATCAAAGACGACAATTAAAAGAAAACTTCAATTGTAGCCACTGTTGTTGTAGCTTAAATAGTTCCTAGGAACAAATAGGTTATTAAGTATTAATGTAGCCACTGTTGTTGTAGCTTAAATAGTTCCTAGGAACAAATAGGTTATTAAGCTTTAATGGTAGCTACGATGTGCATGGTTAAATGATAGCTACAACGGTTGTGGCAAGTACGATAAGTGCAGTAACAAATAAAAGTGAAGAATTATATTTACAATTCTAATAAACATGAAACACTGAAATTGTACAGTGTACAATAAGATCAATAAATGGCGTTTTCCCTTTCCACAGTTTTTTTGGATCCTTCTGTATACCTGTATCTTTCTTCTTCTTCCTTCCTTGTTCGTTCTAGTGTTTGCATTGTCTCCTCAGCACACCTGCAGACATTTTTTAATTTAAATGAAATTTACATTTTTTTATTTAAAAATAAGTTTTCACTGAATTGTGCCTTCCCCCGCACCTCCTCCCTCCTGGGACCCATCCTATATTTCTAGTTTTGTACACTACAAGAAAATTATTATTCAAAATTGCCATATTTGTACACATATCATGAAAAGTGTATAATTTTCCTTCCCTTCCTTCTTAAATAGAAATGCGCAAATCAATTTTGTAAAGAAACCACAATTGAATATAATCAGCTCTCAGAAAGAGAAACATGGACATCTATTTCATACTTGATCAGACAAAGCTTTGAAACCTGGGAATCGTATATTTCACTTTCTAAATGGAAATTAACTTGAAATAAAGTCTACGATCCCTACAAATATCTGCTTAGGAAAATGTACCGCTCTTGTGCATCTGTCAACAAATCTCTTCCACTCCTTTCCAGGCTTGAAGCTAAGCTCTCTATTCTATTCTGAAACAAGATGGTCGTTACAGTCGTCTTCATTTACGTAATGGACAATATAGTCGTCTTCATTTACGTAATGGACAATATAGTCGTCTTCATTTACTTAATGAACAATATAGTCGTCTTCATTTACTTAATGAACAATATAGTCGTCTTCATTTACTTATGGAAAATAGGTCGTCTTCATTTACGTAATGTACAATATAGTCGTCTTCATTTACATAATGGACAATATAGTCGTCTTCATTTACACAATAGTCGATACAGTCATCTTCATTTACACAATGGTCGATACAGTCGTCTTCATTTACACAATGGTCGATACAGTCGTCTTCATTTACACAATGGTCGACACAGTTTAGTTTAATTTGATACCTGACAATCTGTTCCAGCGTATTCTATATAGCTTCTACATCTTGCTTCAAGATCCTGAGATATTTCTTTAAATAAACTCTCCCCCTGGGCTCGGAACCTAGAACATCAACATCAAATTATTAAACATTAAAGGGAGTGTGTTGTTAGACATGGTAGTAAAGCAGAGAATGCAGTATGGTAGAGAAATATTTTAGAATGCATTTGAGACCTATGAGAAGTTTTTACGGTGCATATTTGTTCAGCTAGAGCGAAAATTCAATCAATGAAATCCTCAAAGATTGTTCCTTTTAGAGGGAAGATTTTGAGAATTTTGTAAATTGAATTTGTGTTCTTGCTGAACAAATATGCATTGTAAAAACGTCTCATAGGTCTCAAATTTCTCTACAATACTGCATTCTTAGCTCAACTAACATGCCTATACCAACACTGAATCCTTGCCGAATCATTACGGTTTCATTACAAAAGCATTACTGTTTCATTACAAAAACATTACTGTTTCATTACAAAAACATTACTGTTTCATTACAAAACATTACTGTTTCATTACAAAACATTACTGTGTCATTACAAAACATTACTGCTTCATTACAAAACATTACTGTTTCATAACAGAAACATTATTGTTTCATTGCAAAAACATTACTGTTTCATTACAAAACATTACTGTGTCATTACAAAACATTACTGTTTCATTAAAAAAACATTACTGTTTCATTACAAAACATTTCTGTTTCATAACAGAAACATTAGTGTTTCATTAAAAAACATTACTGTGTCATTACAAAACATTACTGTATCATTACAAAACATTACAGTTCCATTACAAAAACATTACTGTTTCATTACAAAACATAACTGTTTCATTACAAAACATTACTGTTTCATTACAGAAATATGTCTGTTTCATTACAAAAACATTACGGTTTCTTTACAAAAAAACATTTTTGTTTCATCATTTCTGTTTCCTTACAAAAACATTTCTGTTTTCTTACAAAAACATTTCTATTTTCTTAAAAAACATTACTGTTTCATTACAGAAACATTGCCGTTTCATCACAGAAATCATTACCAAATTGCAACCCAATAATTACCAAATCATTTATAATAATAATAATAATAATAATAATCACCCCCATATCAATACCGAATCATTTGGGAATTATTACCCAATCGCAACCCAATAACAACAAAGCAAATCACAACCCAATTCACTACAAAGACAATTATTTATCACTGAAAAAACATTTCATATTTTTCATATTTTTATTCAACTACAAAGCACGAGATAATACAAATAAAAAAATCACAATTTACTATGTAATTTGGACCCGCCTAACCAGAGTAGGTTGTTTTAATTGGTTGGCCCACAATACATTACATTACAAAAACATTACAACACAATAGTTCTAACTTCTAATTGGTTTTCAAAAACGTTTTAATAAATTTAATAATAATTTTAATAAATTTCAATTTTAATAATTTAATAAATTCTTTTTACGATTTTTATTTATGAAAAGTTGTGGAATAACATTTAAGCTTAAATCTATTCTTTAATAATCCAAAAACACAAAATATTTATTATAATTGAATACCAGCATTCACTTCATTTCTGGATAAATTATTAGGACCTTTCATTAAATATTATTTACGACATTAACAAGGGAAAAATTCCATTCTCAAATATCTAGACATAAATTTTACATTTAGGGTTTTTATGTTTCCTATTTTTCTATAGACGACTTCGCATTAACCCCGCCTGGACTATAGTTATTGGTTGGTCACAGTTTTGTAGATTTCCCTCCCAACATCTATATCTTTTTCTAAAAATTATTGTTCCGCAAAACATCCTAAAATGCCAGAGTGTGAAAAAAGCTGTGATTTCCTTGTATGACACATTAATTCACAGTAGAAGTAGATGATTCATTTGATGTACCGTCCTTTTTTTCCAATCTATAGCAGGCCCGTAGCCATAGGAGGGCACAGGGGCACGTGACCTTATATTACCTGTTTATGAAATTCTCCTCTATACTATTAGAAATATTACCTGTTTATGAAATTCTCCACTATATTGTTAGAAATATTACCTGTTTATGAAATTCTCCACTATACTGTTAGAAATATTACCTGTTTATGAAATTCTCCACTTTACTGTTAGAAATATTACCTTTTTATGAAATTCTCCACTATAATACTGGAAATATTACCTGTGTATGAAATGCTCCACTATAATGCTGGAAATATTACCTTTTTATGAAATTCTTCACTATACTGTTAGAAATATTACCTTTTTATGAAATTCTCCACTATAATACTGGAAATATTGCCTGTTTATGAAATTCTCCACTATAATACTGGAAATATTACCTGTTCATGAAATGCTCCACTATAATGCTGGAAATATTACCTTTTTATGAAATTCTCCACTATAATGCTGGAAATATTACCTGTTTATGAAATTCTCCACTATAATACTGGAAATATTACCTGTTTATGAAATGCTCCACTGTAATGCTGGAAATATTACCTTTTTATGAAATTCTTCACTATACTGTTAGAAATATTACCTTTTTATGAAATTCTCCACTATAATACTGGAAATATTGCCTGTTTATGAAATTCTCCACTATAATACTGGAAATATTACCTGTTTATGAAATTCTCCACTTTGCCCCGAGCAGATCCCTCGCACCTTTGCAGAGCTTGAGATATGGGTACATATCCAAGCTTATCAAATCCTCCAGTCAATAATCCTAAATTTTGGGATTTCTATCTAATCAATAAAGAACTGAAGCGTTTTCCACTTAAATTTGATAATTTGAAAATGTTTTAAATACATTCTTAGATTTAAAAAAGTACCCTTTAGAATAGTAATATGTTAGGCCGTTTGAATAATATATAATATCAAGAGATAAGCATCGCTTTTGTGTAAGAACAACATTTTTCCGGAACGATGGTGTCAATTAGAAAAAACGGTTGTTGGACGAACGACTTTTTAAAACGATAGGTTTTTTTCTGAATGAACGATTTTATCGAACAAACTTGTGAATAAACGATTTTTTACTGAAAGAACGATTTATTGAACAAACGATTTTACAACACGAACGAGTTTACTGAACGAACAATATTACTGAACGATCTTTAACTGAGAAAACGAATCAAATAGATGAAAAATTATCACTAATTTTAAGAACGAAAGAAATAAATTTGTGTTTTACACTATTAAAAAAACGACAGAATGGATCGTTCATGTTCACGACCGCTGAACTATAACGAAATGAAGAAAAAACGCACCAATCTCTCGGCATCTTCAATAGTATGATTGTTCGATCTTTAACAGGACCAATGACATGTTTCAGAAATTCTCATTCGGATATAACTAGATCATGCTGGGGGGGGGGGGNGGCTTACCTCCGACATTTATTGTTCTTGAATTTGCTCCTATTCCAAGCGAATTTAAAACCTAAACACCAAAATATTATTGTATAAACCTATTTTTGAATATTTTTAAATAATTTCATTTTTTAAGAACTTGTGCAATTTTATAATTTTTATCATAAAACATGAAATATGCCAAAAATATTGCTTAACACAACACTAGAATGCCGATTTTTTAAAACTCAACTTGTAAACCTGTAAATGATCTAAGCCAGAAATATTTATGATACTATAAAGGATCTAAACTAGATATATTTATGGAACTATGAAGGATCTAAACTAGATATATTTATGGAACTATAAAGGATCTAAACTAGATATATCTATGGAACTATAAAGGATCTAAACTAGCTATATCTATGAAACTATAAAGGATCTAAACTAGCTATATCTATGGAACTATGAAGGATCTAAACTAGCTATATCTATGGAACTATGAAGGATCTATACTAGATATATTTAGGGAACTGTAAAGGATCTAATCTATCTGTATCTATGGAACTCTACCTGTGCCGGATCTAAACTATCGAGATGTCTATGGAACTATATAGGATCTAATCTATCTGTATCTATGGAACTCTACCTGCGCCGGATCTTAACTATCGAGATGTCTATGGAACTATATAGGATCTAATCTATCTGTATCTATGGAACTCTACCTGTGACGGATCTAAACTAGAGATGTCTATGGAATTAACTCTGCCGGTGATGGTCAGGAGAATCGAGATAAAATACACCTAGAAAAAATGTAATCATTACTTAACTCAATATAACGTTAAAGAATTGTTTCTTAGAAAGTAAACATGAATCTATATTTTAAAGCTGTTCGCTTATACATGTATACATTTATATCTCAGCTTAATCTGACATTTTTTGAAGGAACACATGGCTAAAAAAATATATTTTTTTTTTAATTCGTAATTTTTCTTTAGTCCACGGGAAACGCCGGGCACTTCAGCCAAGCATCAAATAGAAAAATTGTCCAGTGCACGGTTTTATGATAACAAGTGCTTACTTAGTTTAATTATCTTCATTTATATTTCCAAAAAAAGAGGAAGAAAACTGTTTTAAAAATGAAAATATGATATTCAAGTGGTAAAAATATAAATAAAATTGGCATGATATGCAGTCCGTTGTACCGTCCAGTAAGGCTACACAGTGTAGAATCGACCCAGCACGTGTCAACCATTAACATTAAGACCCCCCCCCCCAGTTTATGTAATGTTGTCTTCAACTTAAATGCTCCTCTCGGAGACAAGAATCCAAACCAAACAATTTCAGCCCGCTTATCTTCTTTGTTCTCCGATAACGGAGTAAAAACGTTTATCAATTGTGAACCATTTCAAAGTTAAACAAAAACATTTCTATTTAAAGAATTAGTGACTTTCATCAACATTTAATTGTTAATCTTTTCAGAAGTTTTAATGTATAAAAAGCGTCTTCGGACTTTTCGACAGATAACCCCCGAATAGAAAAATAGATCGTAAGAATCTTTTCATTATAAATTTGTAAACCCTGTAATAATTATTTATCATTATTCATTTCATTATTTTTTTTAGGAAATAAAGAGTTTTCTGCATTATCGATTTTGATTTGTGGGTTATACCTTGTCTATCTGTTCATCGTCAGAATCTTGTGCCTTAGCGACAACAGCACGTTGTATGCAACAAATGTAGCCTAGCAAATTCACAGTGCTGTGTATAGTGTATATGCTCGGTACAGCAGTATAATATCTGAATTATTGTGTTTGCCAACACTGAACTACAGAGAAGAAGAAGGTCAAATATTTGCGACATTACCGGACAGCTTTGGGACCTCGTCGCTCCTCTTATTTCGATTTTATGCAATAATTATGCGAAAACAAAAATTATCAGAAGTTTAAAATTTCGTTAAAAAAGGGAGTTTGTTTTCAAAATGTTTCAATCTTAAGTGCAATTTTAAGTGCAATTTCAAGTGCAGTTTTAAATGCAATTCTAAATGCAATTTCAAGTGCACTTTCAAGTGAAATTTTTAGTGCAATTTCATGTGCAATTTCAAGTGCAATTTCAAGTGCAATTTAAAACGTAATTTCAAGTGCAATATTTAGTGCAATTTCAAGTGCAATTTACTTTAGTTTGACGTGATATAACAGTTTTTCGCGAAGGTGAATGCCTATTGCAACCTTGTAAAAGATTGCAAAGGTTTTGGATGAATTGCAATTCATTATTTGCACACAATTCATTCTTGTTTAAATTTAAAAATATTAAAAATATTAAAAATACGGTTAATATTCAATTTTTATCATATTTTTGTTCAAAATTATTTTACAATATTTTTTCAGGCTAATTTTTCCAATTTTAGTGAAAACTGAAAGTTAAAACACAAGTTGAAGAAAATAAAAACATCTAGCCTTAGTTAGTCTAAGTCCTCATGGTTCATTGTAAAGTCAACCAAGCAAGTTTTATGTAACAAATGTAGGCTTGCAGTACATATATGTTAGCCCTAAAGAGGTTTTATTTTTCAATATTTTTTGCTGTAAAATAATTGACGATAAATCCATTTTTTATACGGAAAATATTATTTAATATTTATTGTGGTATTATTACTATTATTAATTAAGGTTTATTTCTCCAAAGAAAAGGGGTTTATTGTTTTATTTTAATGAAATGATAAAGACACGTGCTTTAAACACTAACTGAACCTACGTCAAAACAATTCATTAGACGTTGGTCATAAGATATTCTAGCTACCAAATTTTTTAAATAATTTTTCGGGAATTGTTTGATATGATTCATATTTTTCCCTCTTTGTCTTAATTTGATGGTTTTGCAGGAAATTTCTTTTTTTTTACTTTTAGAAATTATTGATGAAGAAGATTGGGAAGAATTAATCTTATTTTTAAGACACCCTTTGAAGTTTTGAACTGAAATTCAGTTTCATTTTTAATTTATTTTTAGGAGACACTCTTTTTCATATTTTTTACATTTTTAGAAATATAAAAAAGTTGCCATGAAGGTTGTTAATTTACTATTTATAACAATGTTATTTTGGTTCGCAGTGTTAGTTTTTGGACATAAATTTTCTCTTTATCGAGAAGGTTCAATTGCCTTTTTAAATTTAACTTTGGCCCGTGCTTTAAAGAGGGACAAACAACTCTAAAAAGGCGAGAACCTTCGAGATATAGAGAAAATTTCAGTCCAAAAACTTTATAATACGTCCTGCCAAAATAATAGTGTTATAGGTAATTTTATGAAAAGTCGGAAAAACACCCAAACGTACATAATACATATAAAATCACCAAGCTTCAAAGCCAAATATTTTCTGCATGCACATTTTTTAATTTGCCTTATAAATTTTTTTGATGATTCAATCTTTTTAAATCTATTGAATTACCCCGAAAATCACAATTAAGAGCTATGAACGATCTAATATGATGTGGTACACGACAGTATAATGTTTTGTTTAGCGGATATAGTTGATTCCAGTTTACTGTTAGAAAATTGTTCAACCATGGCATTTTCAATCTTTTCATCATATATCCGGGATTAAATTAACACTTGAGAGTACAGATGAGGGAGGGAAGGGAAATGCAAGTACAGGGATGGATGCCTTACCGCAATAACTCTTAGTCCAAGCCACATTTTACTTAATTTATTATTATGAGCCACCACCAAAAGCTGACTGCAACATTCTTCTTGTGAAGTAATGTATATTTTTGTCTAATTAATCTCTATTTAAAAAGTTCAGCAAGGTGAAAATTAAATCTCTTCTCTAAGTTAGACAAAAGGATAATGTCATACTTTTGCAAAATTATTGAAACAACTTCCCTAGTTTAGATTTTACGTCCATTCATGAAACTAAAGGCAAATTTATTTGGTTTTATATAAAAATTTTTTTGCGAAAGCCATTCAGAAAAAAGATTAATTGAAAACATGCCAGATTGATTTTCTATTCCCATATATCTTTGCAACACAATGTCAAATAACTAAGATATTTCAAACTTTAAATTCTGTTACATCACATAATCCAAGTTTGAAATATGAAATGGGTACACCATCAGGTTGCAAAGATGTACGGATTCGAAAATTTATGGCGAAGATTTATTTCCTTTAATTAGATTTGACGTGTGGGATAATAATTAATTCATGTTCATATTAAACTTATCCCAGACTCATTTCTTACATTAAAAAAATTGGGAATACGCTAACGCTTTTTCATTTTGTAGATAATCGTGATCAATTAATAGAAAATGAGAAGAGAGACTGCAAGATTTTCCTGGGGTTATCTATTCAACTCGTCGACTTCAGTGAGTTTAATATTTAAGCGATAGCTTTGCTGTGGAATCTTAATCAAAACTTTCTGAGAGAGATCATCATTGGTTTCATTGGGTGTTCCTTTCCTAGGGGGTACACCTAAATCACCTTGAACCTAGCCGAATGCAGTTAAGGCCATGAGGTCTTTTAATTTCTTTCTAAATTACTGCAAGACACTGATACATTTAATGCAGCTGACAAAGGGAAGTTCTCATTACAACAATGTCAGCAATAAACCTGCATAGATGGCCGATATCAAAAACAACTAAAATAAATACAGAAACTCAAGAGCTGATATTGAAATACTACAATTTGCCTGATCAGCATCTCAAAACTGCATATTAACCCTCCAGGGGGGGGGGGCGGGGGTATAGAGCTAATTGAACGAGCGTAACAGGACAGCCAGGAAACAAGAAGATAGGAAAAATGATTATCTGTATTCTGCATTAAATATATATATCAAATAATTTGTTTCATGAAAAAAAATTAAAATAAATAAATTGATAAAGTTAAAAAAGGTTTAATTTAAGTCCCAAGTGAAACTTAACATTTAGGTCATAACTTTTTATTCTTTCGTCATGAACTCTGTTTGTAATAATTTCGCCACTTTTATTTTATCCGTAAAAAAAGGAATAACCATCTCAGTGTTAGCAGATTTTTATATTTGTTTTTATGTTTTTATTTGTGGACAAGATTCAATTTCCAAAATCAAAATTTTGGGCGGCAAATAAAGCAAATAAAAGGAAAAAATATGTGATTAAAATTTTATTTATTTAAGAAACTATTTTCTTGAATTTTTCAGTTTGAAAAAAGTTTTATAGAAAGGAAACCTTAAAATAAACATTAAAGTTCCTCGGCAATTGAATTCACCATTGAAAAAAAACAAAAGCAAATCTATATACATTTAGCAGCCATGTGACAAACATTTTTTGCAAAAATAAAACATATTGAAAACATTTTTTGATATTTTATAATTGAAAACTCGAAATTAATGTTTGCAAAATATAACAAAATTGAATGGTACCCTTCAACCATCTACCTAAGGATTAAAAATGAGAAGGATGTCTAAGTTACGTTTACAGGAAACCGCAATTTAAAATGCTCAATTTTCAACAAAATAAATAAAATTTCTGCGCCAGTCAAAATAGTAGAAAGTAATCCTTATATTTGTGCGAACCCTTCTCAAGAAATATTTAATCATCTATCTAAGTACTCGTTATATATTTAATCATCTATCTAAGTACTCGTTATATTCATAAAGAATGTTCACAAACATTTCAATAGAATGTTTGGTAGGAATTCTTTAGAAAGTTGTTGATTTTTAACTTGTTAATTTTGACGAATACGTGTACTTTGTTGTCAAATTTTGATTCTTAATTGCATTTTGCCACCAACTTTGGAATTTTTTCTAAGACAAATTACTATAGATAAATATTAATGTATTTTGATTAATCATTATTATATTTATATAACAATCTTTTAGAAAAAGCAGATATCGAAATTTTATTAATTTTATTTTGATTTAGATACTTAGAAACAATCGTTCTAAATTTTCTGAAGAAAATCCAGGAAGGAATCTAAAGGTAATAAGTCTCTAATCCCAATTTCTATAAAATCCAATGTCGTAGACCGTTTATATTTCATTCTTATAATTTCTGCTAGATCAAAACATACAAGATTGAAATATCAAAGGTTTACACCATGAGGTTTCAAAGATATAGGGATTAGAAAATTTGAGTTTATGGCAAAGACTCGACTTCTTTATAGAACATTGCTATTGTGGAAACAAAAACAAAAACAGCGCATTATTTCTACAATCTAGGGGGGGGGGGCCTCAAATTGTTCAAGGGAAGGGGATAACCCAAAAAAATGTTGCCCTTCAGACTCATTTTTCAGTCTCCCACTGGACTAAATCCGGAATACGCCTTGCAACAGTCCTTTTAATGAAATATCAAATTATAATCTTACCAGGCGTAGAGGTTTCTGTAACATATTGTTGATATACGCATCCAGAACCTAAACAAATAAATATAGATGTTTATTGTTAAATAAAAATAAAAAATAATGAAATCATATCACAAGAACTATAAGTGGAGACTAGGGTTTCCAGCGAAAGGGATAATCGTTGCTCCGAAAGTTTTAGTTTTTTCACGAATTTTCGCTTTTTTTCGCGAAACAGATTATTGCAAAATTTCGCGAAAAAGGCGAATTTTTTTGCAATTTTTTCGCGCAATTTTCGCAATTTTTTCACGAAATTCCACATCGTTGCGTTTCCTTTCGCTAAATTCGTTTTTATGAAAAAAAGCAAAATTTCGCGAAAAGTTTGCGAAATTTTGCATTTTTCGCGAAATTTTTCTTTCGCAGGAAACCCTAGCATACATAGAAGTATTGATATGAAATCATTAGAGATTTCAGTCTTTTGACATGAATTGTTCTAAAATCAACCCCTNCCCTTGGCTGTTAAGATATATTCCCATGATGTGAATCTTCATCAGGAAGTGACACTCCCTATTCTCATAGCCTGTAATGAAAACTACGCACGGGGCACAGGCAGGGGGGGGGACTGGGGAGCAGGCGTAACTAGGATTTTGGAAAGGGGGTGCACATTCGTGGAAAAAAAGCGCCACAGGCAAAAAACTAATTTTTGACACAATTATGATTAGAAAACTGGCATTTGTTGATACATATATTTTACAAACTTACATTACATATTATGAATACATATTATAAAATACATGAAGATTGATTATTTAGCGAAAGGATAAAATTCAAACATCAACGTTAAATTTCTTGCAATTTTGAATGTATGGTAAAAACTTTTTATTAATCAAACAGTACAAGATTTTTACGTTCTGAGATAGGAATTAATAAATATCAGGAAGCAGTTGAACTGTGCGTACGTTAAGTCTCCATAATTTAAGATTTGGTCTGAAAAAAATGTTTCCAAATATCTATATATATAGAGTAGTAATCTATTTTTGTTTATTTGTATGTCCGATCATAACTTAGAAACACCTTCACCGATTTGCCTCACATTTTGCTTGAGATACCTAGTAGTTTATATAAAATAATAATCTCTGTGTTTTTTTAGTTTGTTTGTTTGTCCGATAATAACTCATAAACCCCTTGACCGATTTACCTTCAATTTAATTTGGAGCCCTTGGTATAAAAACTATGGGTTTAGTCTGGTTTAAAAGTTCTGAATTAATTTGGTTAACTTTTTAACTTTTAAAGAGAAAAAAAGTTTTCATGAAGAGCTGTTTTCCCCTTGCAAGGCCTAAGATGATGAAGAAATAAATGATGAAAAAAAATGTTTTTAATATATTTTTTAATTTTCTGATTTTGCATCTTAATCTGTTTACGTTGATTATTAATGAAGCTTTTAATCTTGAAAAAAATGAATATTTTGATATTAAAAAGGTTTCTAGAGAAGAGGATCTAGGAAGATTAATCATAATGGATCAGATGTTTCATGCATGATATTCACTTACCCCTTCCTTCCTGTAACTACTTTCAATAGGATTTAGAGGAAACTTTAGTAACATTGAGATAAATAAAATACAAGGTGTAGAAGATGGTAAAAATAAAAATAAGTTTTAAATGTTTCATCAAAAGATACACAGCTGGTTTTTCGCATATAAACCTGCCGTAATTTTCGAGACAGATATTGGCAACTTTTTTTGCAGATTTAGTTTTTTCAATTTTAATTGAATTTATTAATTTTGGAAGCATTGCGTTGTACTTTTCGTGCATAAATGTCATGGGTAGGACTGGGCACGTTCAGACTTTTTCAAGCCTTTAGTTAACGGTAAGTAAAATCGTTCAATACCCTGTTTTAATTTATAAACAGTATTTTACGTTCTTTCTTACAGTTTTCGTTCGTTGAATATCTTAATTTTATAAAAGGGGTTAACGGAATATATTATAGAAATTGTTCACCATGCAAGCCGTCTACATGAGCTGTTGAAGATAACATTCAAAATCATCAAAATACATAAACCATTTTTTATTTTCTGTAAGATTCATGCAATTTTGAGTAAAAAATTAAGAATAGTTGCCTTATTTTGAAACAAGACGGTTCGTTCATTTTTCCGTTCGATCATAAACGTTTTTAAAATCTACAGTTATTGACGTTCATTAATGTACTCTACCGTTAATTTTCAAAAACTTGCCGTTTGTTAAAGGAACATTGCCCAATTAAGTTAGTCAGGTAAAAAAAATTACGTTGAGCGTTTCTTTAAACAATTAAAAAATTCATTGGAATTTACACACATTTAACATTGATTTCGTCTATTATATTTATCGTAAATTTTTAAATTATAATTTTAAAAACAAATATTATTTTAAACGTTTTTGCCCAAAACCGTCAGTATGTGAATTCCTCAAATCTACTTTGAATAAGTTTTAACCCCGTATACAGTGAGGGAGGGAACCCCCAGACACCCTGAGCCTCCGCTATGCAGACACGAGCCTCTCAGATTTGCTAGGCAGACTGAGCCTCAGCTATGCAGTGATTAGCATGCGCAATACATCAAAATGTGCCTGTGTAATACAGGAGGTTTTTAAAACTTGTGTTTAAATAAAAGATTTGTATTACAAATTTTTCGACATTGTTGCAACTTATCTCCAAATATCTTCCTTTCTGTGTAAAAAATGCTAAAAGTTTCAGTGAATCTTATAACCACTTTATAATTACATATATGTTTATAATCTTGACAGTCAATAAATAACTCTAACCTTAATAAAATTCTTATGCCATTACATCAAAACAAATTACTAAAAATTTTCATTACACATGAAAAACCAAGATTTAAAAAAATCTATGCTGTATGATTGAGGCTCGTTTACTGCATAGCAGAGGCACGGTCTGCATAGTGGGCTCGGTCTGCCTAGCAAATCTGGGAGGCTTGTGTCTGCATAGTGGAGGCTCTAAATTACTAAAAATTTTCATTACACATGAAAAACCAAGATTTAAAAAAATCTATGCTGTATGATTGAGGCTCGTTTACTGCATAGCAGAGGCACGCTGCATAGTGGAGGCTCGGTCTGCCTAGCAAATCTGGGAGGCTCGTGTCTGCATAATGGAGGCTCATGGCGTCCGGGGTATCGCCTGAATCTATGGATACGGGGGGGTTTTACCCAACCCCTTTCAGTCTAGCAGTACTTTATAGATTACATTTTAGTAGGAGCCCATTTTCTAAAATTTAAATTAAACCTGCTTTGATTTAAAGGCAAAGAAAATTACAAAAAATTGTAAGATGTACGTTCAAAGAATCTAAAACTATAAATTTCCAATTTTGACAAATATTAGCATGAAACGTGCAAATAATTGTTTTTGAATAAATTTTTCGATGAATTTGTCAAAATTATTTTGAAGACATTTTTTCCAATTCGATAAGATATGTTTTTATAAATTATCCTCGAATTCTAAATTACTATTTCTTAGAATTCAATTATAAGCATTAGATATACTTGGTGATAGTTTCAAAAATTAGAACGGTTTGGCAACATAACTAGAAAAGAGGGGCCCCCCTCCCCCTCCCCCCCCCGCAATTTTATCTCACAATTACTATTGTTTAAGTTATAAAAGGCGGACCAAAGAAAGTATAAAACCTGCCAATTTAACACTAAAAGAAGAAACACAAACTTACCACTTATACTTGTAAAATGATCTCACTAGGAGAACGAATACATTTTTCACAAAATATAGGTCACTAAAATTATATATATTCTATGTTCAACATTTATACGAAAGAATAAAAAAAATCTAACTTTAACCAAATTGAGTATTGTAATATCACAAATATTTCACTATCCAACACTGAAATGTGCGTAAACGTTTGACGCGCGCACTTGTTTCAACTACTGACGCAAGCCGACAACTGACGCTTTCCGGAGGAAGGATTCCAAGATTGCGTACACGTTGTCCCCCCCATACTTCCCTTCCCCTCCCCTTCCCTCACATCCTGGCGTATATCTAGTCTAGGTTCTTGAAACTTGATGCATTTCCCAAATAAATGCATTATTTTAATACAATTAATATAAAATAATGCCACAATTTTAAGTTCTTTAGATCTAAAAGACTGGGGGGGGGGGGGTGTCTATTGCCAAATTTAAAGTTCTTACATTTTTGAAAAAGTGAGACTATGCATTTGATAGCTAGGGAGGTATCCTACTGTCACCATGACATAAAAGAGGGCCGAGCGCTGTGGCAACCAAGATTTGTTAGAAAGATGGTAAAATAATTACTCATAAAGACACCGGAGGCTGAATTTAAAGAATTTGAGCCGTGGCTTAAATTTGAGACGCGGTTAAAATATACTTGGTTTCTCAGACTCAGGTTTCTATAATTTAATTATCAACATTTCTTTCCTTTCTTATGTATAAGTAATATTTCAAAATATGATTATCTAACAGAAATCAAAGTAGTGTCAAAGGTCTATCAGGTTGCAAAGATTTAAAGATAAAAAATTGAGAAACAGTCTGTGCTTAAAAGAATGTTTTTAAGCTTCTTAGAAACCCCGCCTGCAGGGTTTCCTGGTCAGTTTAGGAAATATAGAGTTTTATAATTCGTTGTGCACAAACATTGTACAGTAATTGTGTAATGTTTCTTTCCACTTTTACGACGTTTAATAATTGTCGTCATATTTGTCCAGGGGCGGAAACGTCATGTGAGGGTGTCTGTACCTTAAAAGAGTGTGTGTAAAGTTTACCGAACCGAAGCGAAGGTATGTACTGTAAGTATATACAGTACATACGAATCTCGGTATTTGTACAGTCTAGGAGAGTACATTTGTCACACAGTTTACTTAATGGTCTAGAATATGATCTATTCTTAAACTTGTTATTATAGTATAATTAATAGGGTAGGAATGAATACCGCGTAGAAGACGTCACTTAATTCCTTTTTATACTTTTAAAAATATTCCTATGAATGTAACAACTTCACATGAATCAATGCTTAATATAATTTTATCAATTCTTTTGAAATCCTAAAAATATATTTATTCATACATTTATGTATTCCAAACAATCTACAAGGGAGATGTGTAGGTGAAATTTCAAGAGCCATTACATTAAAAAAAGTGACATGTCCGATTCACAATGACACCTTTTTTGTGAAAGATTCTGTTTTTCAAAAATTAGTTATAGTCTACTTTTTTATGTGGAATAACTATGAGGGGCCTTTTCTGCATTTGACAAAAAAAATCTCGATTTGATTTTGGATTTTGGAATGAATACCATCTAGAGTCTAGACATCATTTACAAAATCCCAAGATTCCTGAATATGGGGCTCACCATTAGATTTTTAGATTTCAGTTGAATGCGTAGTTAAATTGTTTGATTAATTGAACCAAACTAAATGAGCAGACTTATTCCTATTTTGTGTTTATGGTTAAAAAGGAATCTGGTTTCTGTTAATTAAATTATAAATTTAAATTTACAAAACGGCATGTTCAAATCACAACGGTATTTGTTCATTCAAGATGGCTTGAGATATCCATAATCTCTTCTTTGAAAGTTGATTATTTTTGCTGTGGTATCTATATTCTATGATTTGCGCATATCTGCGACAGAAAGATCGGATATCTTTAATGCTAAGATAATGGTTTAAAGGGATACCGTAATTCAACCTGACAAAAATCTACTCATTTTAGCACTTGTCATTCTCTAACCTTTCGCTGTTGTCATTAAATAATTGAAAATTATTCATCCGTGGAAAATTATATTGTAAATGGAAATAACACAATATCATTCTTTTACGTTTACAGTTTAAAAAACGCATTCTTTGTCTCGGTAAAAACTGTAAATGTAATTTGAACTAACCCCTCCAAGCAAAGATGGCAATGCCCGATTTACAACGGTACCCTTGAAAGATAAGCTTTGGCTGGTCAAGTATGAATTATTTTTTGTTTCTTTAACATGTTTATTTCCATTTTCGGTTTCTTTGTGAACATGACTTGCGCGCATTTCTTGAAAACGACGATATTTTCAACCCTTTTGAACAGATTAATATGTTTTAAGGGTACCGTTGTGAATTGGACATTGCCATTTTTTACTTGAAATTACGCTTACATTAAATATCAATATTACTTAAAACGCAACATACCACACACACCCCACACAGCTAACAATTATCTCTTTGAAAAAGTAGAATATTTATTGTCTCCCCCCCCCCCCCCCCCCAACACATAATCCAACATTATCCGGTTGTTGCAGTATTTCCGGTGAATTATATTCATATTCATATTTAAAGAATTCCAATATGCATGTAACAGCAACTAAGGGGCACTTTGAGAATATTATTTGTAAACCCTTTTTTTTGCCTCATCCTAGGCTCAAATTTTATGAATTTGAGCCCCGTCTCGAATCCTCCAAAAACCGGTTTCAATTAAGCGCCGGATTAATTTTTTTTAATCTAGATATTTATTTAAAATCTGATAGTTTACATAATTTTTTATGCGTAATTACATATGATTAAATATGAAACAATTTTTACATATGTTACGACGTTACGGATTGGATTTTAGAAAAAACAAAAACATTTTTAATTCAATTTAGAAAATACAGCTATATATAGGAACATTTCTGAGATGTGATTTAAATACTTAAGATCAGAGGAATTTCTTTTTAAATTAAAAGGAATAACTCAATAGAGTTATTTACTCGTGTTTGTAATCTTTGAGATGTTATAAAATAATTAACATAAATTGTACTTGGTATTTAGTGCACATGGATACTTGGAATTTAAATTTGAAATCCGAGTTACAATGAGAAGTTAGGGTACATTTTTTTGCGTGGAATTATCTGATCGTAATTTTCGATCAAATAAAATTACAACCATTGTTTCACAGTAATATTACAATCTGAAACTCAAGATCTGTTTTGGTCTTTTACTTGACATGGCTCTTTAGGAAGGTTAGGAGGGTTATCCATAAAAGATGAGACTATTTTGGCGACCTGAGGCCGAGTTTAAAGAATTTGAGCCGCGGCTTAAATTTAAGACGCAGCTCAAATATGGTTGGTTCCACTTCAAATTTTTTTCAATGTTTCAAAATTTAAGTCGGCGCTTAATTGAAACCGGTTTTTGGTGGATTTAAGACGTAGCTTAAATTAATTAAATTCGGACTCTGTAAATATGACGATCGTAAGGGTATATTAAGTCTTATTTAATGATTTGACAAAAAGAAAGAACTTAGTTTTGCAATTGCAAAAATATAAATTCCGTTCATTCGTCCTTGTGTGTAACTTGTTTAACATGTTCATAACAAGGTAATCATTCCGGTTTAGTTTAGTATATAAAGCAGGGGCGGATACAGGATTTAAGTGAGGGGGGAAAGATATTTTAGTAACCAGAAAATTCATAATTAGGAACAAAAAATCGCGCCGTAGGCGAAAATTTTTTTTGACTTAAAAGACTCAAAAAGAAACAAAATTAATAACTAAAGACTAAAAAACTAGATTTTTAACTTTTCATACATTATAGTTTATTAAGACAGATATTTTTCCTGTTTTGCACTAGGGTTTCTTTCCCTTAAGCATGCTATTGAGAAGCTATTCTGAAAATAGGAACAAAAAATTCCAAATTCATGGGCGGGCTACGCCCCTCCTTACTAAGATACTTACTATAGGTATATGGCGTGTTGCACAATGCACATGTCGTCTGTAGAAATCCTAACTTTTAACCACAAAAATCCTAACTTTTAACCACAGAAATCCTAACTTTTAACCACAGGAATCCTAACTTTTAACCACAGAAATCATAACTTTTAACCACAGAAATCCTAGCTTTTAACCACAGAAATTCTAACTTTTAACCACAGAAATCCTAACTTTAACCACTGAAATCCTACCTTTTAACCACAGAAATCCTTACTTTTAACCACAAAAATCCTAACTTTTTAAACCACAGAAATCACAAAAAAGTCCAAATTTTTCTAAATTTTCAAAAACTGAATGTGTATTTAAGGAAAACTGAAAATGTTTAACTTCCCTTTAAAGCTTCTTTGCTAAAATCTATGCAAAATTTCTTCGCAAAATGTGTGCAATATATTTTCTCTTGTTGAAAGCTTTCTTAAAAGCTGTATATTGTTGAAATCCAATGACTTGAAGTAGGTTTAAATATAGATTTAGTCTGATATAGGTAAAATAAGGCATTCAGGCAGTATGCCTTAGGATTTAGGCAGTAGGTATAAAAGCTCCGCTTAATGCATCTCTAGTTTCGACATTTTCTAAATGTGGGCTGCCGTCTGTAACTGAACTTTTAAAATTACCGAAGCTGTATAAAGGATTTTGTGAAGATATAGACAATTTTGGTTTTTTTATTAAATAAAATTTGAAAGGAAATCTTTTTATCTCAAGCGGGTTTGAAAGCTGCAGTATAGGTAGAACACATTGGTAATGCCAGGAATTCTGGGATTAATGGTTTAAGAATTATAATTGTGAAAGTAAGTTACTGATATATTTGAATGCCGCAAAGACGATCTACAGGCTGTCTTTTAAACTGTTATGGTTCTTGGAACACCATAAGGAAACCTTCCAAACATCCCTGTCTTGCATTTTCTGACCTTTCCTTCTCTTCATGCCTCTTTCCCTCTTCCTCCCCTTTGCCACAGTATAATAGTCGAATTATCCGTGCCGGTACAGTACGTACCGTAGGACAATGACATTGGGCCATAGAGAATAGAATATATATTAGAGGGGAATTTACTAGAAAAAAGTGTAAAACGGCCATTGTGTTGTACTGTTTCTATACTGCAGGTGTACTTTACATATTTATGCTATATAACCTTTTATAACTATAAATCAAATGATGTTTTTATTCACCTAATTCATTATAAAGTTTATTTAACAATTTAAAAAATTCGA